GGGTTTGAACCGCCAGCCTTCTGGTAAACAGTCAAGTGCCTTAGGCACTATGCTACCAGAGCTCCTAAATATACAGCCTTGGAAACCCTTTGAGGCAATTCTGTTCTATTGTGTGGGGTCACTATGAATTGAAATAAAGTCAATGGCAACAGATTAAGTTTTGGTTTAATCTTTGTGGCAGAAGATCTCTGTACAGGGGGCCTCTAAAAATCATCATCATCTGGTTACATATAGTGTTTTTGAGTTGTGAAAAATACTTCTGTAATCCGTAAGTCTGCATCACCCAACAATGCTGTGAAGCATGAAATCCTTACCCCCATTTCTTGGATCCAGACACTAAAGCCCAGAGAAGTTAAGTAGCATGTTCAAAGCCCTTTAGTTAGTAGTGGAACCATGATTTGAATTCACGTGTCTGACTACAGGCTGCTGCATCTGCTTTGATTTCCTAGACATTCTCAGCAAGTACAGGTGAAGTGCCTATTCCCTGCTCCAGCTGCTGCACAGACAGCCAGCTGGTCTGTTTTTCTTTGTCAGTTAAATATGGTCTCCCTTGCCTTTCCTCTACCCTTGAATGACGTCCATGTGGCAAGGCACTTCCTGCCTTCTGCTGCTTTCATGGAGTTTGGAGCAAGAAGGTGCCAAGAGGTCAGATGTTGCTTGGAGGAACGTAAGCTGTTTGGAAAAAGAGCGTCTGGTTTAGACTTATTTAAAAAACATTATTAGGAATTGGGGGGAAAAAAAAAAAACAGCAGAGAGGTTTTGTTTTGCTTTTTTTCTCAGTCCTTTGCAAATAAACGTCTCTGGGCTTTTTGTTACCTAGGTTGCAGAGCTAAAAGGTGGGCCTCAACTTCAGAACTCATTAAGCATGGATTTTATTTTTTCATGAATAGCACTTCCCTTCATTCTCTTTTCATTTTCGTGTTTTTCTCTTAGGAAGGATAATTTAACAGAATACTAAGGTTCCTCCTCCATTTTCACCCACGGCTGGAAGCAATTTTACAAATGTAATTTCAGTGTTTTGTAAAGGTGCTTAGCAGAGTCATGGGTACATTTCTTTCATGTCCCTTCATTTTCCTCCAAGAGAAAAACACTGGATAATTTTAAAACCAACACTGTGCAATCTGTCCCCCACAGCTGTCTCTAAAGTGAAGGTACTAACATAGTTTGGGGTGCCTCCTGTGCACCAGGTCCTGGTCTGAGCTTACCCTATAACATTAGATCCTGTCAGTAACTTAATGAGATACACATTGATTATCCTGTTTTCAGATTAAAAATAAATATTTTAAACCAAACTCTGAATCTAATAAAAGTTGTACAGACAGAAAGAGGCAGAAAAAGTATTTGAAAGCTGGTATTTATGACTCTGGAATTGCTGTCTGTTTTTTTCATTGTACTTCACTTACCAAAACACCCAACCAAGACCAAAGCAAAAAACCTCTTTGTTATAGATTGGATTGTGTTCTCCCAAAATATGTGTTGTTAATCCTAACCTGTATGCCTATGGTTATAATCCCATTTGGTAATGGGTTGTCTTTGTTATGTTAATGAGGAAGGATTAGTGTGGTATGTGTTTTGAGTAAGTCTCTTTTGAGATATAAAAGAGATTAAACAAGCAAGCTAGCAAGCAGAGATGGGGGAAGAGAGATGCCAAGCCACATGAAGATTGCCCAGGAGCAGAAGCTCAGAAGAGTCAAGGACCTTTTTCCAGAGACAAGAGATAGGGGGAGAGAGAGAAAGAGAGAGAGAGAGAGAGAGAGAGAAGCCTTATCCTAGAGCCAGCACCCTGGATTTGGATTTCCAGCTTTTGGTGGCATAGTGCCTAAGGCATTTGACTGCTAACCAGAAGGCTGGTGGGTTTGAACCACCAGCCACTCCTCGGAAGGAAGATTGGGCAATCTACTTCCATTAGAGATACTGCCTTGGAAACCCAAGGCGGGGTCACTCTGAGTTGAAATCAACTCAACGTCAGTGAGTTTGGTTTTTGAAACTGTGAGAAATAAATTTCTCTTTGTTAAAGCTGCTCTTTTGTGGTGTCTCTGTTATTGCAGCACTAGATAACTGAGACACTCTTGAAGATACACTTAAGGAAGTTAGAACTGGATAATGGTAATGGTTGCACAACAAGATGAATGTAGTTGATGTCACTAAATTGTACACGTGAAGAAGGTTGGAATGGCAAATGTTTTGTTACATACATATTTACCACAATTTATAAAGAAGATAAACTTCAGGAATATATCTGAAGGTATATTCAATTTTACCCGAAGAAAGACAGCTTTTCTCCAGATCTGCTTTAGTGGTTGAAATGTTCCCTTTCCACACCCACCATCAAATCCTTACCAGCTATGATTACAATGAGAAAGTTTTATGGGGTGATGGGGTGAGGAATATATATTGATGAAAGTCTGTTAATATTTCTCTAGGGGAGAAATAAGGAGCTCTGGTGGAGTAGTGCCTAAGGCATTTGACTGCTAACCAGAAGGTTGGTGGTTCAA